TCCCTGTGCCAAAGTTCTCAAGTTGGTCCCAATTCCCTCATTGATGGCCTTAATCGTTTGGGGTTTAACTTCAAGGTAATACCTTTTACTTAGAAGATTGTAACTGGGATTCATCTCCAACTCACGAGTGTGAAGGCCTTCCTCCACCAGTGTCGGCCTCCCAGACTCCTTAAATACGAGTGTAGAGAATTAGTTCACATACACTCTTTCTGGTTCTCAGTTTCCCACACTCTGCCGGATATACTCAATCCGGCTCTCCTTTTAACAGGATCCCTAAATCACTTGGGGTCTTATAGAAATATAAATGCTGATGTAGTACATCTGGAGTGGGAATGCAAGTTTTCAGCAGGAGGCTGAACAGGAATGAACCAGGTAGAAGTCCTGCTTCTATCTCAGCATGGCTGCTAACAAGCATTATATTAAGTCTAACTAAGTGATAAGAAAAGTGCTTTTTCATCAAAAGGTTGAAATGACCAAAATCAAATCACTCTAATTAATTTCATTAACTTGCTTGCCTTAGAGATTTGTATTTTATAATAATTTTTAAAATCAATGATGCCATAGTTTGTCTTCGCTCCTTAGTGTTGCCATATGAGATATTTTCACAGATCAGGAAACTAGAAATCCGTATTTGGGGCGCTGGTTCTAGAAGCCTCTCTTAGTCTACTCAGAGAGAGCATGTTTGTCTCTGGCTTTCAGCTTCTCCTCACGGTTTCTTGATGATTTCCTCACGGCCTCAATCGTTTCCATTTGTGATTTTCTGTTTCTGTGCTAGAACTGCTCTTTTGATGTCTCAAAAGTTATTGGCTTAAAGCACAGCTTAAGATATGGCCTCATTAACATCCCATGAAAAATCCTCTTCCCAAAGGGGAGTACCACAAGTAGTGTTTAGGATTTACATAGTTTGGGGAGATGTTTGTCTATAACGTAAACACAATATATTTTCTGTTAATTTCAGAATTTGTATGTTAAATCAGTGTCAAAGCATCCTTCTCATCGAATTTTACAAAAACGACATTCAACTGAATCAAAAAGATCTCAAAGTCACATTTATATTACCTTCACTTATTTATTTTAGATTTCCAAGTTTCTCTTTTATTTCAAATTTCTTCTCTTTTGGTGTTCTTATTAATAATAGCATTACATATAGAATAATAAAATTATAATCCACCTTCTACCCTCTAAAAATATAATAGAGAATAAATAAAAGATAAAGCAGTAAAATAAATCAAATTAATAAAATAGTGTATGGAAAGGATGGAAAGAATGCTGTTACATTCTGTGGCTTGCGATGTCACAAAGCAAAATGTGTATGAATTGTTAAATGGAAAACAATTTGCTCTGTAAATTCAATTCACCTAAACCACAATAAAAAGTCAATAAAATAAAACAAATTATAAAAACCCAAACTCATTGCCATTGAGTCGATCTGACTCACAGTCACCCTATAGGACAGGGTCGAACTGCCACTGTGGGTTTTCAAGACTACATTTTTTACAGGAGT